CTGCTAGTAGTTGACGACTACACGCGCTACACCACGGTCTTCCCCTTGTGCACCAAGGGAGAGGTCCTTGTTGTCTTGATCCCTTAGATCCGCGCTACTCGTCTCCAGGTGGAGAGGCGCTTTCGCACGGACCTTCCCGTCCTGCGACTGCACTCTGACAGAGGTGGTGAGTTTTCCTCCGGCCTCTTGGAGGCCTTCTGTCAAGGGGAGGGCATTGAGCAGACGCTCACGCTTCCGGCCTCTCCTCAGCAGAATGGGGTTGCTGAGTGCCGCATTGGCTTGGTCATGGAGGTCGCTCGGACCTCCTTGATCCATGCGGCTGCCCCCCATTTTCTGTGGCCGTTTGCGGTCCGATACGCCGCGCATCAGCTCAACCTCTGGCCCCGTGTCTCCGTTGCGGAGACCTCGCCGACACTGCGTTGGACGGGAGCGGTTGGCGATGCGTCTGTGTTCCGTGTCTGGGGATCTCGTGCCTTTCTCCGCGATACGTCCGCGGACAAGCTCTCCTCCCATGCCATTCCTTGTGTCTTCCTGGGCTTTGTCCCTGACGCGCCTGGCTGGTAGTTTTACCACCCCACCTCGCGTCGTGTCTTCCCCTCTCAGGACGTCACGTTTGACGAATCGGTCCCCTTTTACCGTCTCTTCCCCTACCGCACTACCCCGCTCCCCCCTCCGCCGCTCTTCCTCACGCTAGGTGCTGCTTCGGTAGACCCCTTGCCTCCCCAGGGTCCTGCTCCCTCAGGTGTTTCCAAGGTAGACCCGGTCGAGCCTGTCCAGGTAGCTGTCGACTCTGGTCCTGCGTGAGGTACTGAGCGTGCTGAGCCTGAGCGTGCTGAGCCTGCGCGTGCTGAGCCTGGTGGTGCTGGGCCTGGGGGTGCGGAGACTGGGGGTGCTGAGCCTGGGGGTGCGAAGACTGGGGGTGCTGAGCCTGGGGGTGCGGAGACTGCGGGTGCTGAGCCTGGGGGTGCTGAGACTGGGGGTGTTGTCCCTGGGGGTGCTGAGTCTGGAGGTCCTGAGCCTGGGGGTGCTGCACCTAGGGGCGTTCTCTCTTCCCAGCAGCTGCGTGAGTGGTACTCTCGGTACTGTCGCCGCCGCCATGGTGCTGTGGGAGCTGGAGCTGAGGGCGCTGAGCCTACTGGAGTTGATGTTGCTGCTGACCCTCGGGTTGGCGCTGGAGGTGCTGGAGCCACTGGTCCTCGAGGTGCTCGTACTGGCGGTACTGGAGCTGCTGGGACTGGGGGTGCTACTGGAGCTGCTGGAGCTGGTCCTACTGGAGGTGCTGCTGGTGCTGCTAGAGGTACTAGAGCTGCTGGAGCTGCTGGTGGTGCTGCTGGTATTGGGGCTGGTGCTGCTGGAGGTACTGGTGCTGCTGGAGGTGCTGCTAGTGCTGGTCCTGCTGGAGGTGCTGCTGGTGCTGCTGGAGGTACTGGAGCTGCTGCTGGTGCTGAGCGAGTTGGAGCTGCTGCTGGAGGTTCTGGTGCTGTCTCTGCTGGTTCTAGGGGCACTTCACGGCCACAGCCGTACTTTGTTCCCCTCCTTCAGCAGGTTCTTGGTCAGCCGCCTCCTCCTTGTCCTACTCCCTCCTTAGAGTGTCCTCCGCGTGTCCAGTCGCTGTCACAGCTACCGCCTGCCTCGCCACTCCCTGGTCCTTCTCCCTACACTGGTCCGACAGGCAGTCTTACGGAGCGTTGTGAGCCTGAGTCTCGTCTTGTGTCGTCTGAGTCTCGGTCTGCGTCACCTGTTCGTGCTGCTCGCACTGGTCGTCGTGTCGTACGTCAGCGTCCTCCTGCTGTCCCAGGCACTCACCAGATGGCGCTTCGTCCTTCCACTGCTCCACAGCGTGTACCGCTGCCTTCTCCTCCTGCGTCCTCTCTTCCTGCCCTTGCTGACCCGGAGTCTGACTCTCTTCGTGCTGCTAGTCCTACTGTCACGCGTCTCCTGGCCACTACTGTCACTGACCCTTCCTTTGAGTCAGCTGCTGCGTCTGCCTTAGTTGCTGAGCTTGTCGACTTTGCTGCTCACTGTCGTCTAGACTACGCTGCGGGTCTTGTTGCTGAGTCTGAGTCTGAGTCTGAGTCTGAGTCTGTCTGTCCTCCGTCCGTCGGGGGTGAGTGTGCTCTTGGCACGGACGTCCTTGAGGATAGGCAGGAGGAGTATGAGTGCTTTGCCGCCGCTGTACCTCATCTCGCGTCCATGCTGATTACACCTGAGGGAGACCCGGATGCACCAGACATCCCGACCCCGCGCTCTTACGCTGAGGCGATCGCGGGTGAGTACTCCTCTAAGTGGCAGTCAGCCATGGACGCAGAGATGGCATCCTGGAAGTCCACTGGCACTTACGTCGACGAGGTTCCCCCTCCTGGGGCGAACATCGTCAGTGGCATGTGGATTTTCAGGGTGAAGCGGCCGCCAGGTTCTCCGCCTGTCTTCAAGGCTCGTTACGTTGCTCGAGGCTTCAGTCAGCGAGAGGGAGTAGACTTCTTCAAGACCTTCTCCCCCACCCCGAAGATGACCACTCTTTGGGTGCTACTGCACGTTGCCGCTCAGCGTGACTACGAGCTTCACTCTCTTGACTTTAGCACAGCTTTCTTGCAGGGCAGCCTGCACGAGGAGATCCGGCTGCGCCGTCCTCCTGGCTTCACTGGGTCGTTCCCTCCTGGTACCCTGTGGAGCCTCCGGTGGCCGGTCTACGGTCTCCGCCAGGCACCACGTGAGTGGCACGACACACTGATGACTACACTTGCGGCTCTTGGGTTCGCGCCTTCTACTGCTGACCTGTCGCTGTTTCTGCGCACCGACACTTTGCTGCCGCCGTTCTACATCCTCGTGTACGTCAACGACTTGGTCTTTGCCACTGCTGACACTGAGGCTCTCGCCCTGGTGAAGTCAGAGCTGCAAAAGAGACACACGTGCACAGACCTGGGTGAACTGCGCAGCTACCTTGGCTTGCAGATCACCTGGGACAGAGCACGCCGCACCATCACACTAACTCAGTCACACATGGTGCAGTAGGTCCTTCAGCGCTTCGGCTTCACGTGGTCCTTGGCACAGGCCACTCCTCTGGCTACAGGTCACTCGCTCTCAGCTCCACCTTCGGACGAGTCCGTAGAGCCGAGTGGTCCTTACCCAGAGCTATGGCTGTCTCATGTACCAGATGACTTGCACTCGTCCTGACCTCGCGTACCCTCTTGACCTTCTGGCTCGCTACGTGGCTCCTGGTCGGCACCGAAAGGTGCACATGGATGCTGCTAAGAGGGTACTGCACTACTTGTGCAGTACATCAGGCATGGGACTCGTGCTTGGAGGGAGGAGCTCAGTTGTCCTCACTGGGCACTCAGACGCTTCTTGGGTTTGACGACCAGGCTACGCAGCGGTCGTCACAGGATTACACCTTCAGCCTTGGCTCTGGTTCAGTTTCTTGGCGTTCTACACGTTCATCTTGAGTTCTCAGCTCCAGTTGTGAGGCTGAGATCTACGCCACAGCCATGGCTGCACAGGAGTTACGCTGGCTCACCTACCTGCTGACTGACTTGGGAGAGCGGCCTCGTTCTCCTCCAGTGTTGTACGTCGACAACAAGGCTACCATTGCCTTGTGTGAGGAGCACAGACTGGAGCACAGAACGAAGCACATCGCTCTGCGTTAATTTCTGGCTCGAGAGTTGCAGCAGCGTGGTCAGCTTCGTCTACGTTACGTGGCCACTCGGGCCAACACTGCTGATATATTCACCAAGGCACTTCAGTCTGGTGATCATCAGCGTTTCTGCACTATGCTAGGGCTTGTGCCCACTTTTCCTCACTTGCTGTAGGCTTTGCTTGTACTGTGATCTTTATATATATACATATACATATATATATATATATATACCTGCATGCTTGCTTTGCTAGGGAGAGATCACTGTGCTGTTTGTGTTGCATATATGCCTCTGCATGTGGACTGGCCTTGTGGCCCTTTGCTTGTGCTCAGAGTGTCTGGTGACGTTGTGATCCACCCTGAGCTTGCTTTGCCTTTCTTGACTGATCTTGTGAGCCCTTGCTCTTCCCCACTTTGCCTATGGGGGTGTGTCAAATGTTATGTCTACTACAGTTTGTTTAGGCTGTAGTTGGGTAGTTACTATGGGGTACAGTAAGTTTAGGGTTTCCTACTTGTACCCAACTCTTTCCTACTGCAATCACTCTTGTTCATTCTGACACGTAATCCCCCGGATAAAAGACCCCCCTATAATAATGTACCCGGGTCTTTAATACGGGGGGGGGGGGGGGGTATTATTCAAGATTGTTTTCCTTATACCCCCCAATTGGGGTGAAATCATTATAAGACCCCCCCACAACCATAAAAGGGTTTTTTTTGGGCTAATTCATGTCAATTAAGCAAGCAGTGGCACATGTTCGGCCACAAGAGTCACAAAATACAATCAAGGCAGCCTCTCAACACCTGGTTACCATTGAATATGGGCCAATGAGCATGAAGCATTTAGATGTTTCATGGATTGTGCCCGGTTTCTCGGCTCAGGACATTCGCGAGGGTTTTCCTCGTTTAAAAATCGCAAATCTGGATTACAACACCCTAGCATTTCATTATATTGTAAAAAAACATAGCACTTCCTATAAGACCCGGGTCTTTTTTTACCCTTGAGACCCCCCACATTTTTTTGTGAAATCAATAACAGACCCTAGGGTCTTTTATCCAGGGGATGCAGGTATTACTCTGATTGGACCAGGACTGAGTTCATTAATTCTGAAATTTCAATCTCCACAAAGTGGAAAGCCTGAAATCACCCTGAAATCAGGGTAATTACCCTGATAAAAACAGCACTGTCGATCAACCTTACTAAAGTTTGCGATCTGCAATTTGGGCCATTCGCTCATCCCTTCACTAATTGTGTTCATTTTGCTCCGTAGGAACAATGACTACCGTATTACCAAGGCCGCAAAGGAGGCTATTCGAATGCTTATAACTACCACGAGAAATCACAACTAGCACCTCCACCACCATGCCTATGCTAGGCACGCTTTTTTTGCAACCATTCATTCAGAGCCGCCCGGGGAACAACCAGTCGCCCGGGATTCCTCTTGTGCACAAGCACACCACCACCGCTCCCTTCCGTCTCATCTTCAGAAGAACTGGATTGACTGGATTGACTCGACGAATAACTACCACCGTTGGCAGCACCGGTAGCTGCACTCTTGTACACAGGCGATGGAGAGGTGACGGGAAGCCCGAGCTCCTTTTGTAACATGTGCGTTACCGCCTCTCGCACCACTGAGTGGCCTGGCGTTGAGCTGCGCCGGCCTGTGCCTGTGATTATAACAAGGTCGTCTTGTATGGGGGCACCTGAAGGGTATGAACACGGGGTATTAAGAAGAGGTTACTAACAAGGCTTGCACGCAGTGACTTCTGAGTACAGAGAGCACTGCTGGTGCGTGCTGTGCTGTGCAGTGCAGTGCAGTGCAGTGCTGTGCGGTGCATGGATGGATAGCACAGTGCACTGGGCTCACTCACCTCCTGAGCGCTGGAAGGTCTCCTTGAGCAGGCGTAGTACAGAGTGCACTGCTGGTGTGTGCTGTGCAGTGCTGTGCTGTGCGGTGCTGTGCTCACTCACCTCCTGAGCGCTGGAAGGTCTCCTTGAGCAGGCGTAGTACAGAGTGCACTGCTGGTGTGTGCTGTGCAGTGCTGTGCTGTGGGGTGCTGTGCTCACTCACCTCCTGAGCGCTGGAAGGTCTCCTTAAGCAGGCGCAGCACAGACAGCACTGCTGTGCGTGCCTCGGCCTGGTAGGGGTAAGGGATGGTTTAAGGGGATGGAGAGTGGCGAGGTGGGTTGTCAAGCGGTGAAGTGGGATGACAGATGGTGAGGCGGGATGGAGGGGAGTGACGAGGGATGGAGGGTGGTGATTTGGGATGGAAGGAAGCGAGAAGGGACGGAGGGGAGCGAAACAAACAAGAACAGAAACGGCAACAAAATCGAGAACAAAGGCGAGAGAGGCCGTGGAGATCAGGCTTGGTCAAGCCCTCAACAATCCTCCAGTACCTCTCTAGAAGAACAAGAACAAGAACTAGTACAAGAGCCAGAACTAGGCCAGCAGCAGGAACACCAAAGTAGGATCCAAAAAGCTCACCCGAGAGAGGCCGTGGAGGTCAAGCTTGGTCAAGCCCTCAGCCATCCTCCCGTCCTCCTCTCCTCCCTCCCCTCCTCCTCCTCCTCCTCCTCCTCCTCCTCCTCCTCCTCCTCCTCCTCCTCCTCCTCCTCCTCCTCCTCCTCCTCCTCCTCCTCCTCCTCCTCCTCCTCCTCCTATTCCTACTCTTCCATCTGACCCGCTCCCAACACCAAGAGCATCTTTATCGCACTCGTCTTCTCTCGTTGCTCCACCCCCTGCCATGCCTGCTGACCCACCCCCTGCCATGCCTGCTGCTGTGCCCCCAGCACCGCCCAGGCCATCTCGAGCAAAGCTCGTGAGGTGAGAGGAAGAGGGGGCAGTGGAGGCTGAGGAGGGGGAGGAGGGGGAGGAGGGGAAGGTGGAGAGAGGAGGGTCCAGTGCGCCTTCTGCCATCTCCCCTAGTAGGCTCTTGAGCACATAGTCGTTAGGGGAGTAGCTGGGGGGATGGGGGCGGGGGGAGAAGGGGGAATGGGGGCGGGAGATAAGGGGGAATGGGGGAATAATTGAGATCTCAGCCATCTTCCCTAGTAGGCTCTTGAGCACATAGTCGTTGGGGGAGTAGCTGGGGCAATGGATGGGAAAAAAGGGAACAGGGGCAACGTGGGTGAGGGGATGGGGCAGAAGGGGAAGGGGGAAAGGTGGAGAGAGGAGGGTCCAGTGCACCTTCAGCCATTTCCCCCAGAAGGCTCTTGAGCACAGTCGTTGGGGGAGTAACTGGGGCGTTGAACAGGGAGGGGAATGCGGAAGACAGGGTCAAAGGGAAGACTTGGAGTAGGTGAGGAGGAGTGGGCTTTTGGGTTGACTCGGTTTTTGAGTCGACTCACAAGCTGGGGCATTGGAGAGGAGGGGAGTGCGGAAAAAAGGGTAAAGCGGGAAGGTTGGAGTAGGTGAAAACGAGTCAGACAGTGAAGGTTGAAGTTTGTTGGATTCGAAACGCAGCAAGCCTGCTAAGAGAACGATCGGTAATACTAAGTCTACTAATCTGAAAGACCCTGCAGCATCAGGGAAGGTTAGAGTAGGTGAAAACGAGTGAGACAGTGAAGGTCCCGTTTCTTCTTCTTCTTCTTCTTCTTCTTCTTCTTCTTCTTCTTCTTCTTCTTCTTCTTCTTCTTCTTCTTCTTCTTCTTCTTCTTCTTCTTCTTCTTCTTCTTCTTCTTCTTCTTCTTCTTCTTCTTCTTCTTCTTCTTCTTCTTCTTCTTCTTCTTCTTCTTCTTCTTCTTCTTCTTCTTCTTCTTCTTCTTCTTCTTCTTCTTCTTCTTCTTCTTCTTCTTCTTCTTCTTCTTCTTCTTCTTCTTCTTCTTCTTCTTCTTCTTCTTCTTCTTCTTCTTCTTCTTCTTCTTCTTCTTCTTCTTCTTCTTCTTCTTCTTCTTCTTCTTCTTCTTCTTCTTCTTCTTCTTCTTCTTCTTCTTCTTCTTCTTCTTCTTCTTCTTCTTCTTCTTCTTCTTCTTCTTCTTCTTCTTCTTCTTCTTCTTCTTCTTCTTCTTCTTCTTCTTCTTCTTCTTCTTCTTCTTCTTCTTCTTCTTCTTCTTCTTCTTCTTCTTCTTCTTCTTCTTCTTCTTCTTCTTCTTCTTCTTCTTCTTCTTCTTCTTCTTCTTCTTCTTCTTCTTCTTCTTCTTCTTCTTCTTCTTCTTCTTCTTCTTCTTCTTCTTCTTCTTCTTCTTCTTCTTCTTCTTCTTCTTCTTCTTCTTCTTCTTCTTCTTCTTCTTCTTCTTCTTCTTCTTCTTCTTCTTCTTCTTCTTCTTCTTCTTCTTCTTCTTCTTCTTCTTCTTCTTCTTCTTCTTCTTCTTCTTCTTCTTCTTCTTCTTCTTCTTCTTCTTCTTCTTCTTCTTCTTCTTCTTCTTCTTCTTCTTCTTCTTCTTCTTCTTCTTCTTCTTCTTCTTCTTCTTCTTCTTCTTCTTCTTCTTCTTCTTCTTCTTCTTCTTCTTCTTCTTCTTCTTCTTCTTCTTCTTCTTCTTCTTCTTCTTCTTCTTCTTCTTCTTCTTCTTCTTCTTCTTCTTCTTCTTCTTCTTCTTCTTCTTCTTCTTCTTCTTCTTCTTCTTCTTCTTCTTCTTCTTCTTCTTCTTCTTCTTCTTCTTCTTCTTCTTCTTCTTCTTCTTCTTCTTCTTCTTCTTCTTCTTCTTCTTCTTCTTCTTCTTCTTCTTCTTCTTCTTCTTCTTCTTCTTCTTCTTCTTCTTCTTCTTCTTCTTCTTCTTCTTCTTCTTCTTCTTCTTCTTCTTCTTCTTCTTCTTCTTCTTCTTCTTCTTCTTCTTCTTCTTCTTCTTCTTCTTCTTCTTCTTCTTCTTCTTCTTCTTCTTCTTCTTCTTCTTCTTCTTCTTCTTCTTCTTCTTCTTCTTCTTCTTCTTCTTCTTCTTCTTCTTCTTCTTCTTCTTCTTCTTCTTCTTCTTCTTCTTCTTCTTCTTCTTCTTCTTCTTCTTCTTCTTCTTCTTCTTCTTCTTCTTCTTCTTCTTCTTCTTCTTCTTCTTCTTCTTCTTCTTCTTCTTCTTCTTCTTCTTCTTCTTCTCTTCTTCTTCTTCTTCTTCTTCTTCTTCTTCTTCTTCTTCTTCTTCTTCTTCTTCTTCTTCTTCTTCTTCTTCTTCTTCTTCTTCTTCTTCTTCTTCTTCTTCTTCTTCTTCTTCTTCTTCTTCTTCTTCTTCTTCTCTTCTTCTTCTTCTTCTTCTTCTTCTTCTTCTTCTTCTTCTTCTTCTTCTTCTTCTTCTTCTTCTTCTTCTTCTTCTTCTTCTTCTTCTTCTTCTTCTTTTTTGTGTGTGTGTGTGTGTGTGTGTGTGTGTGTGTGTGTGTGTTGTGTGTGTGTGTGTGTGTGTGTGTGTGTGTGTGTGTGTGTGTGTGTGTGTGTGTGGCTTTCAGAAGCCAGTTGGGGTTTTCCTTGTACCAGTTTTTCGAGCTCTCAAGAGTGGGTATAAGAGCGGTGGGGCTTTGAGACAATGGGAGGAAAGGGGAAGGGGGAGGCAGAGGGGGAGCTGGGTTTCAGAACAGGCAGGCAGGAATGCAGAGTGATGTGGGGTATTGTTGTGGGAAAAGATTGATATGTGGGATTGACTTGCATTTGGTTTCACATGCACCATACCCCCATGCACCACCATGTTCCATGCCCCCTCATGTTCCATGCCCCATGTCCCATGCCCCATGCCCCATGTCCAATGCCCCATGCCCCATGTCCCATGCCCCATGCCCCAGTCCCCATCGACCACGCCCCATGCCCCATTCCCCATCGACCACGCCCCATCCCTCGTCCCCAAGTCAAATGTCCCATGCCTCCCATGCTCTCGCCCCCCTCTGCCCCCCACTCAACCCGCCTGCCTCATCTCTTCATACACCAGCAGCAGCCGCTGAATGCGCCTCTGTTGCACTCATGCGCCTGGTAGCTTCAATTCAACTTACTCAACCCCCCCATCCCATACGTTCTCCCCACTCACCCCGCCTGCTTCATCTCCTCATACACCAGCAGCAGCCGCTGAATGCGCCTCTGTTGCACTCATGCGCCTGGCAGCTTCAATTCAACTTACTCAACCCCCCCATCCCATACCTTCTCCCCACTCACCCCGCCTGCCTCATCTCCTCATACACCAGCAGCAGTCGCTGAATGCGCCTCTGATTGCAGAAGCAGCGCAGCACCTGTACCACTTACCCACTCGCGTTTTGAGTCGACTCAAAACACACACCTGTACCACTTACCCACTCGAAGAAGCCACAGGGCACACAAGAAGCACGCCCACTCCAACCCGCCTGCCCTCACACTCCCCACCACCCAGCCATCCCCCTTCCCCACTCACCCCGCCTGCCTCATCTCCTCATACACCAGCAGCAGTCGCTGAATGCGCCTCTGATTGCAGAAGCAGCGCAGCACCTGTACCACTTACCCACTCGCGTTTTGAGTCGACTCAAAACACACACCTGTACCCCTTACCCACTCGAAGAAGCCACAGGGCACACAAGAAGCACGCCCACTCCAACCCGCCTGCCCTCACACTCCCCACCACCCAGCCATCCCCCTTCCCCACTCACCCCGCCTGCCTCATCTCCTCATACTCCAGCAGCAGTCGCTGAATGCGCCTCTGATTGCAGAAGCAGCGCAGCACCTGTACCACTTACCCACTCGCGTTTTGAGTCGACTCAAAACACACACCTGTACCACTTACCCACTCGAAGAAGCCACAGGGCACACAAGAAGCACGCCCACTCCAACCCGCCTGCCCTCACACTCCCCACCACCCAGCCATCCCCCTTCCCCACTCACCCCGCCTGCCTCATCTCCTCATACACCAGCAGCAGTCGCTGAATGCGCCTCTGATTGCAGAAGCAGCACAGCACCTGTACCACTTACCCACTCGTGTTTTGAGTCGACTCAAAACACACACCTGTACCACTTACCCACTCGAAGAAGCCACAGGGCACACAAGAAGCACGCCCACTCCAACCCGCCTGCCCTCACACTCCCCACCACCCAGCCATCCCCCTTCCCCACTCACCCCGCCTGCCTCATCTCCTCATACACCAACAGCAGCCGCTGAATGCGCCTCTGATTGGCTGCTGCTGATGCACCAATGGCAGTCAGGCGGGGGATTCGGGAGGAGGAAGGGGAAGGTGAGGGGGGGTATTGGGAGGAGGAAGAGGGGGAAGAGGGGGAAGGAGGGGGGGAGGAGGAGGAGGAGGAGGAGGAGGAGGAGGAGGAGGAGGAGGAGGAGGAGGAGGAGGAGGAGGAGGAGGAGGAGGAGGAGGAGGAGGAGGGTGGGAGAGTGTCAGCTTGCAAGGGAAGGCGGAGGAGAGTGTTGAACGTGACCTGTCAGGGAAGAGGGGTTTGAGCAGAAAGGGTGAAGAGAAAGCGACAAGAAGAGGAAGACGTCAAGGGTTTGCAAGGGAAGGCGGGGGAGAGTTGAACGTGACCTGTAAGGAAAGAAGCGGTTGAGGAGAAAGGGTGTGAACAGAAAGGGGCAGAAGAAAAAAGAGGGCGAAGGGGTGAAGAAAAACGGTTGAGGTACTGTCACTGTGCTGGATGTGAGCTTGAGGGGAGAACAGGGGTAGAAAGCACAGCAAGTGGTCGAATGGACAAGAAGGGAAGCACTTAAAGGGTTCAATTCCCTCATGGAAGGAGCAGAGGTGATGCAAGGGGTGACATTCTTCTGCTTCGACTCAAAAGTCACCTCGCAGAGGTGATGCAAGGGGTGACATTCTTCCACGAATAGGTGTGCTTGCTTGTGGTGATGCTTGTGGTGATGCTTGTGGTGATGCTTGTGGTGATGCTTGTGGTGATGCTTGTGGTGATGCTTGTGCTGATGCTTGTGCTGATGCTTGTGCTGATGCTTGTGCTGATGCTTGTGCTGATGCTTGTGCTGATGCTTGTGCTGATGCTTGTGCTGATGCTTTGTGCTGATGCGTGTGGTGATGCGTGTGGTGATGCTTGTGGTGGTGCTTGTGGTGGTGCTTGTGGTGATGCTTGTGGAGATGCTTGTGCCACGCTTAAGAAAACTCTAACTCGACGATACGGCAGTTGCTCTTGTCTGTCGCGATTTCTCCTCATCAGGTTCGGCCTGAATCCCTCGGCCTTCAAAGTATCGTACAAGGCAGAAGCAAGCATGGTCCCAGTCTCCCCTTCAAAAGCAGACGGTTTCTAAGGTGTGTCAAAAGTGGCCTTTATGATATCTATGAGGGCCGAGATCTGTTTGTTTACCAGGTTGGGCCTGACGCCCTCGGCCTTCATTTGGTCGTAGAATCCAAAAGCTCGGTCCCAGTCTCCTCCTCGAATGCACGCCTGCAATCAGTGAAGACACAGAGGCGAGATTACGTGTTCGGTGACTTGAACTCAGCCCTCCAGAAACTACTGAGACGATTTTTTGGGCGCCTTTTGAGGATTTTTTAGGCGCCTCAAAAACCGCACAGGCAAGATTAGGTGTTCGGTGGCTTGGAACTCTATCCTCGAAAAAAATACTGAGCGGCGATGGGGTTGTGCCAGCCAACCAACTCGGGGGAATACAGCTCTTTGAGAGTCCACTGCTTTTTGAGGCGCCTCAAAAATCGTCTCAGTTCACGCGGTTTTGAGGCGCCTCAAAAATACTGAGCGGCAATGGGGTTGTACCAACCAACCAACTCTGGGGAATACAGCTCTTTGAGAGTCCACTGCGTGTAGTGAGTCGAGTTTTGAGTCGACTCAAAACTCGGCGATGGGGTTGTGCCAACCAACCAACTCTCGGGAATACAACTCTTTGAGAGTCCACTGCTTACGTTCACTTAAGCTCAGATGCACTGTCAAGCTCACTTGAGAGTTCACTGGACACTTGAGCTCTTCAAGAATCACACAAACTGATCGCACCTTGATAGCCGCAGTGTATGCCACCACGTCCGTTGTCAGTGGTAAACAGGTAGGCTGCGGAGGTCTTATGTCCATCAACTTAGAATGTTTCTAGGACGACGAAGCAAACTCCATGAAATGAAAAAAAAAAAAATGAAAAAGCCTGGAGAGCTTGTGAGCTAGAGCGTATTAGAGAGCCAGATTGAACAGAAAGTCAACTTGGAGTGTATGCCACCCACCACGTCCGTTTTGAAATGATCTCTAAGTTGATTCAACATACTTCATAACAGCAGCGGCCATATAACTGATGACACACACCTTGATTACAGCAGTGTATGCGACCACGTCAGCTTTGAACCCCGCTGCTTGCATGTCTTGAAACACCTGACCGATGTGTGGGGACGAGGCAAGGGGGAGGAAAGGAGAGAAGGAAAAGAGGAGGGGAGGGGGGAACGGAGAGGGGGGAAAACTGACTAGCCAGACCTTGATAACAGCAGTGTATGCCACGACGTCCACCTTGAGCATGTCTTGAAACGCCTGACCGATGTGTGCGGGAGAGGAGGGGAAAGGAGGGGGAGGAGTGGAGGGAGGGAGGGTTGAACGGGACGAGGGTGGAGTTTTGGGGTAAATGAAGTGGCTGGCTGGCACCAGAAAAACACAACACCACACCACACCACACCACACCACATCCGCCTTGAATTGAACCCCCCAGCACATTTGGACTGGAGTCTGGTAGTGAGGCGCATCAAAACTAAATTTGAGGTCAACCAAGTGGCACCAGTACAAACCACTTGGAACCATTTACACCACATCGGCCTTGTTGAACCTCCCCTCAGTACACGCACACACACCTGCACAGCAGCGGTGGTATCCGCATTCTTACCATGGCAGTCCAGCAGCTGTGGTATCCGCATCCTTACCATGGCAGTCCAGCAGCGGTGGTATCCGCATTCTTACCATGGCAGTCCAGCAGCGGTGGTATCCGCATTCTTACCATGGCAGTCCAGCAGCGCAGCGCCACCCACGTGCAGCTCGTTGGTTCTCTCCCCAGCACACACACATCCAAACACCAGCACGCACGCACACACATGCAACCACAAAGACACAGACGCGCGCGCGCACACACACACACACGCACGCACGCACGCACTCACGCACGCACGCACGCACGCACGCACGCACGCACGCACACACACGCACACCTGCACAGCAGCGGTGGTGTCGGCGCTGGTCCCATGGCAGTCCAGCAGAGCCACTCACGTGCGCTTTCCCCACCGCTCTCATCTCCCCCACAAACGCCCGCACGCGCTGGGGGCTGCCCGTGCATGTATTTGCGTCGACTCAAAAACAGGCTCCCCCACAAACGCCCACATGCACTAAGGACTGCCTGTGCACGCCTTGATGCGTGCGCTGGGGACTGCGTCCCCGCATCCCCACCCTATTATCTCCCCCATTTCTAGCCCCGCTCTTCTCCCCACCAGAGTATAAACACATGAATACCCACCTGCACAGCAGCAGCTGTATCCGCGTTGGTCCCATGGCAATCCAAGAGTGCCACCCACGTGCGCTCGTTGGGTGCTATCCCTGCCGCTCGCATCTCCCCCACAAACGCCCGCGCGCGCTGGGGGCTGCCTGTGCACGCCTTGATGACTGTGTTGAATGTGATTATATCGGGGGCGCAGATGGAGGGGGAGGAGGGAGGAGAGGAGGAGGAGGCAGAGGTGGTGGAGGAGGAGGGAGACGATGCAGCAACAACTGAAACCTCTTGCTCCACTCCACTCTCCTCATCCCCCCTCTCTTCCCCCGCCCTCATCTTCCCGCTCCTCCCCCCAGCCTGCATTTCCCGAAGCAACGCCACCGCCCGATCCTCCAGCCCAGCTTCGGCGCACATGTCGATCATCAGGTTATACACAGCAGTGGTCGCCTCACACCCAGACCCCACCATCTCGTCAAAAACCCTAAACGCATGGTCCACAAACCCCGCGTGCACGCACGCACCAATCAGAGACGTCCACGTCACCACGTTGGCGCACACGCCTGATTGGTCCATGTCGGATTTGACGGCGAAGGCGGCTTGGAAGCGGCCGGATTGGGCGAGGATCTGTATGACTGTACTGTATGTGTACACGTCTAGGTACCTGGAGCGACTGATTCTGCTGCTGCCGCTGCTGCTGCTGCTGCTGGTGCGGCTGTTTTGGCTTCTAGGCTCGCTGCTGCTCTCACTACTTCTATTTTGGCTGCTGCTGGTGCTGCTGTTCCCACTTCTAGAGTTGCTGCTGTTCTTGTTGCTTCTATCCTCGCTGCTGCTCTCACTGCGTCTATTCTGGCTGCTGCTGTTCCCACTTCTATCCTCGCTGCTGCTCTCACTGCGTCTATTCTGCCTGCTGCTGTTCCCACTTCTATCCTCGCTGCTGCTCTCACTGCGTCTATCTTGCCTGCTGCTGTGGTTGCCTCCAGCCCGTTCTTCTCGCTCCTCCAGCGCCCTCAGCTGCTCGTACAGCAGCTGGGCAGCATCCGGGCGGCAGTGGGCGGCACAGGCCTTGAGCAGCGTGTTGAAGGTGGTGGCGTCGGGGCTTACACCGAGACGCTGGATGGGAGAGATGTGCACGGGGAAGGAACATGGAAAGTGAATATGGTACCAGACTGTGAGTGAGAGGCCAGACTGTGGTACCAGACTGTGGTGGCGCAGGCCTTGAGCAGCGTGTTGAAGGTGGTGGCATCGGGAAGGACAAGGGAGAGAAGGGCAAGGGGGAAGGATGAGGGAAGAATGGAATCAAGGTAAGAATGTCGTTGCCAGCTCACTGCCAGCTCATTCCCAGCTCATTGCCAGCTCATTGCCAGCTCACTGCCAGCTCACTGCTATTCAAACTAATTGTTTTCTTCGTAGTGTATTGATGTAAGCGTGATTTTGCTCTCTTAACTCATGGGAAATCCACCAGGACTGCAGGAGTACTACTGCCAGGCCAGGTCATCACCGCCAGCTCAGCACTGCCAGCTCACCTCCATGCGGAACCAGAGCGACCACGTGGCGTCCCAGTCGCTGATGCACGCGTTAAGAGCACTGTTGACCACATAGGTGTTGGGTACCACCCCGTCCTCCTCCACCATAGCCTGGTGGGCGGAAGGCACGGGGAAGGACAGTGAAGAAGAGAGAACGTGTCAGTACAAGCGTTGAGTGCGCTGTTGACCACGTAGGTGCCACCCCGTCCTCCTCCACCATAGCCTGGTGGTACCACAGCAGGGGAGGGAGGGATGGGAGCAGGCGCCAATAAAAAAGGAAACGAAGAGCGGGTGTCAGTCAGCACAAGCATTGAGTGCTGTGAGCTCTGCTCCGCTGACCGCGTAGGTGTTGTTGGGTACCTAACACCCACCCCGTCCTCCTCCACCATAGCCTGGTGGGGGGAAGGGCACGAGTGGGGATAGAGGGTGGTGGGACGGGAGCAGCGAAGTGTAGGAACACTTTTGAGGCGCCTCAAAAGTCATGTCAGAGAAGCGAAGTGTCGAACTAGGAAGGAGCACGAGCGGGCAAGCAAGCAGCCAACTCGTATGTATCACCTGAACGATTTCAGCAGCCGTACTGCCTGCATTTGAGTCGCCTCAAAAGCAGCAGGCAAGCAGCCAACTCATATGCTTCACCTGAATGATTTCAGCAGCCGTAGTGCCTGCGCCGCATGCTGCACACACGTCCATCATGGAACGGTAGGTGAACATGTCAGGTTCCACTCCAGGTGCTATTTCAGGTAACGCGCCCTCCTCAGGTAAAACCTCAGGTGAAACGCCAGGTGGCAACGAATCTTCTCCAGGTGACTCCCTGGTACCACCGCTGCTGCTTCTGTTACTGCTGCTATCACCACCCCCACTTCCTCCTGCTCTGCACCCCTTCCTGAGTGCGTGGAAGAGTGTCAATGCTAGTTGTAGCTTGCCCTGCCTGGCACACTCCTTGAGGGCCTTGTTGTAATCCACTGAACTTGCAGATGGCAGGTGCAGGATGAAGCTGCGAGCAGGGGAGGAAGGTGAAAGGAAGAGCGGGTGTGTGAAAGAGAGAGAGGGTCAAGTCAAGGCTGGTTGGTTGCATTGCAGATTGCCCTGCATCGTGCACTCCTCGATGGCCTTGCTGTGATCCACTGCGGACGCACTCGGCAAGTGGCCTTGGTAGGTACACCGTACACCTGGTCGCTCACTCACTGCTAGCTTTCTTCACTGGGGTGTGCTGCTAGGATCTAAGCCTGCAAACCCTATACCCAGAACCCTGGTCAGTGAACAATGCTAACTCACCACATGACAAGAGGTAAATTAGAGGCAGCAATGCATGCTTGGTACACCTGATCGCTCACTGCTAGCTTCCACGACTGAGGCGGCTGTAAGCCTGCAAACCCTAGACCCTGAACCCTGGACGGTGAACAAACCCAACTAACCGCATCACGAGCGGCGACGCATGCTTGGTACACCTGGTCGCTCACTGCTAGCTTCCGTGACTGAGGCGGCTCTAAGCCTGCCAACCCTAGACCCTGAACCCTGGCCGGTGAACAAAGGTAACTCACCGCATCACGAGGGGCAGGTTGGAGGCGGCAACGCATGCTTGGTACACCTGGTCGCTCACTGCTAGCTTCCTTGGGGATAGCCCCAGACCTGGTAGGCACAGATGGGCGGGCATTGGGTTCACACACACACACACAAACAGGGGGGTTGGGGGGTGGGTTCCTACACACAGGGTGGAGGATGCTTATAAGGCGTCTCAATAGGCAATGCATGCTTGCTTGGTACACCTGATCGCTCACTGCTAGCTTGAAGCTTCCTTGGCGATAGCCCCAAGCCTGGAGGGGGTAAGTGGGGGGTTGACTTGACACGCACAGGGGGGAATGGGGGGAGGGGGGGGGGTGGGGACTGGGGGTTTGGGGAAAGGGGCTTGGCGCAAAGACCCCAATGACTGGGCCCCAATGACTGGGTTTAAGAGAAACCAACGAGTGGATTGTGAGGAAGCAGAGAGATGAGAAACAAGAGAAGAGGGAAGCAGAACCTGCTAGTCATTCAGACATTTCAGGGTTGAACAGAAAGTGGTGCTACCTGCGAGGGAGCAGATCAAATCAACTGCTTCCTCCACCCGCTTTCGTCTCAGCGCGTGCAGCACTGCCAGACGCACGTCTCGCCGCGCTGCCACGCTCCCCACCACCTCCTCCCACTTCACCGCTCGGCCCATGAACCCCCCGCTTTCCCCATCTGCTGAGTTTTTTCTAAGCGGGTCTTCAGACTGGTGATGTGCTAGTGCGAGGAGCAGCGAATTCGCCGTTTTAAGCTGACTCGTTTGAAGCAGTTTCCTGAGGCATTGAGACAGGACGCTCAGCGCAGCCGTGCGGGGAGATGAGGCCGGCTGGCCGTGAGATGACGTGGCAGGCTCGCTCAGTGATGACGTGGCAGAATCGCTGAGTGATGTCGTGGCACTATCAGCCGCCACGCGCTCGCATTCTCTCGCGATGAAGTCCACGCATTGGTTGACCGGCTTCGTCCGGAGCAACTTTAAGGTCTTCTCTGAAAGCTCGTCTTTCCATTGGCTGCTTGCATCCCTAGGCCCTCTTTGGGAGTTTCCAGGAATCACCTTTGAAGCTTCTGCGACACTTCTAGAAGCTCCGGTGGCTGGCTTAGTAGCTGCGGATGAGTTATTGTTTCCTGTGGCAGCGGCTGCTACTACAACAACCGCAGCAACAGCGGAGACTTTACTGATTGGTTGACATGAGCCGGCATTGAGAGTGGCCGCATTCGATAGTTTGACTGCGACTCGCCGCCTAGCCGCTTGTTGAGCAAAACGCGAGGGAAGAAACCCGTTGAATTCACCTGCTGTGGATGCTATTCTGAAAGTGCCAGCGGCGAGAGAGCCGCTAGGCACTCTAATCTTTGCGGTACGGCCATGAGGGTGAGGGTGAGGGTGATGATTGAATGGAGGGGACTGTTGGAGGGGTACCGTTGACGAAAAAGTTGACGTACGCGTAGAAGGAAACGTTGACGGCAAGGACGGGAAAGCGGGAGCCGAGGCCGGTCTTAGAGAACAAAGGCAATGCTCCATTTCCTAAGAAGCTGAGGACAACTACTAGCGACGGCGAATCACGCCTGAACCAGTAAGTGGAAAGCAGAGGGCTAGTTCGGTATTTTTTTATGCACACATCAGCTTCATATCCGTTCCTCATTAACAGCAGCCTCTCTAACACGCAAGTTAATGGATTCCCTCACTTTCCAGAAAACAACTAATGAAAAATATACCGTGATCACATTTTACCATTGCATATAACAGAACTCAGCAGGGGGATGCGCACGTGGGGCTAGCTGTGTCGCGGAGGGCTTGTCGGGAGGACGATTCTGTGCTTTCGGCTTATCTTTTGGGGTCACTGAAGGCGCTCATCGGGGTGGCGTTACAACGTGCGCAAGCCCGTGTCATCTTGCTTCGAGCGGTGTCTTCCATGGGGGGGGTTAAAACCGAAATATAAAATAGTGAAGGCAGACCCAACTTGAAATCGCTGCGAATAGTTCGGGTGATGCAACACTGTTCCAAACAAACCGCGTTGGCAGGTTGAACTCATCTTATTAGCTCTAGCCAATCCGAAAATTTCCCCTCCCGCAAAAACGATTTTTGAGGCCCAAGTTAGCCGTCGCAATTTTACTCGCTGCTCCCCGCACGACCGTTACCATGCGATCGTTTCCATCGCCACGCCCAACTTCAACTTCAAGTTGGAACTGGGTGAATGATTAGTCCTCTTCCAGTCTCGAAGACACTACTGTTTTGCGAAGCATACGGTAGTAGTAAAGCTGATAGAGCCTAGATGTTTCTGACCCAGGCACGAAGTATCAACTTAGCTTGCGTGCGTAATCTAGTAAACGACGATCTTTATAGTATACATTTTTCTCCTCTTTCGCATGTGTCTCCCACCCCTTCACCTTTTCCAGCCATCGCGCTCTCGGTATATCGACCTCCAGTCGCTCTACATTTTTCCCGTTCACCTTCCTCTCTCGCGCTTCGCCTATCCCTCTCTTGCCGCCTTCCTTTCTCCCATCGCCCTCCTCTCTCCCGTCGCCCTCCTCTCTCCCGTCGCTTGTCATCTCTCCCGCCGCCTTCGCCCTCCCGTCGCCTTCGCGCTCATTCTCCCGTCGCCTTCTGCGCTCTCTCTTCCGTCGCCTTCGCGCTCTCACTCCCGTCGCTTTCACGCTCTCTCTCGTGTCGCCTTCGCACTCTCTTACCCATCTCCTCCGCGCTCTCTTTCTCGTCGCCTCAGCGCTCTCCCTCCCGTCGCCCTCACGCTCTCTCTCCCGCAGCCTTTGCGCTCTCACTCCCGTCGTATTCGCGCTCTCTCTCCTGTCGCCTCCGCTCTCTCTTTCCCGTTGCCTCCGCATTCTCTCTCCCGTCGCCTCTGCGCTCTCTCCCTTCCCCGCCCGTCGTTCTTCCTCTGTCCGCTCCCCTCTTGTCGTTTTCCCTCTCGTCGCCTTCGCGGTCTCCGCTTCCCTTCCCTCTCGTCACCCTCGCTCTAAACCCTCCCTTCCTATCGACCTCCTTTTCTCCCCTCCCCTCCCGTCACCCTCGATGCAGTCGTCGCCTTCGCGCTCTCCCTATTGTCACATGTCTCTTCTCCCACCCGTCGCCTTCGCGCTCTCACGTCCCGTCGCCTGCGCGCTCTCCCTCCCGTCGGCATCACGCTCACGTTCCTCCTCTCCCCTCCCATCTCTGTCAGAACATATAGCTTACCTGTTTGTGTAGGCTACAGTGGGGTATCCCATAAGGGGTACAACACAATTAGGTTTCCTATTTGTACTCATTCTTGACTTAGTCAATTCATTCCTCTTCTCACTGTTTCACATGGTATAGAGCTAGGTCCCTCCAGGACCGATTTTTTTTTTGGGCCCACCGAAGCGCGCCCAGAGGCGCGATTTTTTTAGCGACCCCTCGAGTCGCCCTCTCCCCTGCGGCCTCCCCGCCCACTCTGTCGCGGCCCCGCCCTGACCCTTACGCGGCCACGCCGCCTGCTCCTTACGCGGCCCCGCCCCCGGCCCTTACGCGGCCCCGCGCCGGCTCCTACGCGGCCCTTACGCGACCCCGCGCCGGCCCCTTACGCGGCCCTTACGCGGCCACGCCGCCGGCTCTCACGCGGCCCCGCAGCTGGCTTCTACGAGGCCCCGTCCCGGCTCCTACGCGGCCCCGTCCCCGGCTCCTACTCGGCCCCGCGCCGGCCCTTACGCGGCCTCGCCGCCGGCTCCATCGCGGCCCTGCCCCGGCTTCTACGCGGCCCCGTCCCCAGCCCCTTACGCGGCCCCGCCGCCGGCTCCTACGCGGCCCCGCCGCAGGCTCCTACGCGGCCCCGCCGCCGGCTCCTACTCGGCCCCGCGCCGGCCCTTACGCGGCCTCGCCGCCGGCTCCATCGCGGCCCCGCCCCTGCTCCGACACGGCCCTGTCCGCCGGCCCCTTACGCGGCCCTGCCGCCGGCTTCTACTCGGCCCTGCGCCGGCCCCTACGCGGCTCGGCCGCCGACTCCAACGCGGCCCTGCGCCGGCCCCTACGCGGCCCTGCAGCCGGCTCCAACGCGGCCCTGCCCCGGCTCCTACGCCGGCCCTAACGCGGCCCCGCCCTGGTTCTCTCACGCGACCCCGCCGCCTCACCTGCAGCAGTCGGGCAGCAGGGCCGCCGAGCCGCCCAGGAGCCGAGCCGCCCTGCACCCGAGCCGCCCTGCACCCGAGCCGCCCTGCAGCCGAGCCGCCCGGGAGCCGAGCCGCCCTGCACCCGAGCCGCCCTGCCGCCGAGCCGCCCGGGAGCCGAGCCGCTGTACACACGAGCCGCCCGGTCGCCGTTCTGCTTGTCTGTCGAGCTGCACGGCCTGCCCTGCCTGGTGAGCACAGTCCCTCTGTCACTACGCCCTCTTTCCCTACTGCTTGCACTGCTTCGCTGTAGTCATCATGGCCACCCCTAGTGTCCTAGCCTTTGACGCCGAGGGTCGCGCCATTGATTTTGAGGTCTGGCTGGACGACCTGCAGCTTTTCTTACAGTGCGACAGAGCTGACAGCCTTTCTCTCTTTGACCTCACCTCTGGCGCCTCTCCTGCTCCTGCTGCCGATGCTGATCCCACTGTCCGCTCTCAGTGGGCCACCCGCGATGCTGCTGCACGTCTTGCTGTGCGTCGCCACCTCCCTACCTCTGAGCGTGCACACTTTAGTCAGTACAAGAGTGCTCAGACCTTGTACGACGCTGTAGTTGCGCGCTACTCCTCCCCTGCCACTGCTGCACTGAGCCGTCTTATGCTTCCCTACCTCTTTCCTGACCTCTCTGCCTTTCCCACTGTCGCTGACCTCATTACGCACCTCCGCACTAGTGACACTCGCTACCGCGCCGCCCTTCCTGCTGAGTTCTGCGCTAAGAACCCCCCCCCCATGTACATCACTCTCTACTACGTAGTCGCGCGCCTCCCTGACTCCCTCCGTGTAGTCAGGGACCACTTTCTCGCAGTCTGTCCCACCACTCTCACCGTCGACCTCCTCGAGAAGGCCCTCCTCGCAGCGGAGAAGAGCATAGTCGCTGTAGGTGCCTCTCGTGGTGACCCTCGCACCCCCATCTTTGAGGGGTGCTCTCCTTCCCCCTTACTGCCCTCTGTTGCCTCTGCTGCTGCGGCCGACCTGCTTGGTCTTGAGTCGGTCGGCGCGGCGTCCGCCCCTAGTGGGAGACGTCGCTCTAGCAAGGGCAAGGGGGGCAAGGGCACGGGCGGAGCTGGAGGGGGCGGTGGCGGTGGCGGCGGAGGCGGCGGAGGGAGTGGGGGTGGCGGCGGGAGTAGTGGTGGTGGTGGTGGTGGTGGTGGCAGCAGCGGCGGAGACGGTGGTGGTGGTGGCAGCGGTGGTGGTGGAGGCAGCGGCGGGGGAGGAGGCGGTGGAGGTGGAGGCGGTGGAGGCGCCGGCGGAGGAGGCGGTAGTGGTGGAGGAGGTGGAGCTAGTCGTGGTGGTACCCAGCAGCGGAGCGGCGGTGGTGGTGCCCAGCGCTCGCAGCGGCAGCAAGCAGCAGCGTTCACGGGACATCCCTCCGCCTCAGCAGCTTCGTGAGTGGTACGCTGCGCGTCAGAGGGGTGGGGGTACTGGTCCCTGCGCCTACGTTCTTCGCTCCGGCGACCGCGCGGGTGAGCAGTGTGGGGGTGCCCACTCCACCCAGCGCTGCTTTGGCCGCCTGACGGACGCTTGGCG